GATGTGTAAGAGGGCTTGTGATAAGAAGGGGAAGTGTGAGAGGGAAGACTCAGGTCCCATTTACACTGAGCGATTTATCGTGCGGTAATTCCCGCGATATCGCAGCTATTTACACACTTGGCGATTTGCAAATTGTGCGTTTTTCGCGCGATTTGCATTTTGCGCGATTTGTCGCGCAAATGCTTGCATCAAAAACTATTAATCGTGGCAAAATCCGCTCCAAAAAGGGTCCTGCTGTAGCGACACATGACCCGCGACAGCAGGACCCTTTTTGGAGCGGATTTTGCCACGATTAATAGTTTTTGATGCAAGCATTTGCGCGACAAATCGCGCAAAATGCAAATCGCGCGAAAAACGCACAATTTGCAAATCGCCAAGTGTGTAAATAGCTGCGATATCGCGGGAATTACTGCGCGATAAATCGCTCAATGTGAACGGGGCCTATGATGTAAAGGGGGACTCTGATATAAAGGGGGTCCTGATGTTAAGGAGGGCTTCTGGTGTGAAGAGAGCTCCTAATGTAAAGGGGGACACTGATATGAAAGAGGAGGTTCTGAAGTGAAGGGGGGACTCTGATATGAAAGAATGCATTCTGATGTGAAGTGAGGGGGGACTCTGATATGAAGAGAGGGGCTCTGTTTTGAAAGGGAGGACTCTGATATAAAGGGGGCCCTGATGTTAAGGAGGGCTTCTGGTGTGAAAAGAACTCCTGATGTCAAGGAGGGCTTTAAACTCAAGAGTATGCTTGCTGTGAAGGGGGGTTTATGATGTAAAGGGGGGCCCCTAGTTTGAGAGGGAAAACTGTGATGTGAAAGGGGTCTCCTAAAGTAAAGGGGTACTTTGATATGAAATGGGTATTCGGAGGTGAAAGTGGCAACTCGGATATGAAAAGGGGGTCTCTGATGTGAAAGAGGGGGCTCTGATATAAAGGCTGTCCTGATGTTAAGAGGGGCTTCTGGTGCGAACAGAGCTCCTAAAGTCAAGGGGGGCTTTTTAAGTGAAAGGGGCTCTTGATGTGAAGGGGTGTTTGTAATGTGAAGTGGGGCTCCTAGTGTGAGAGGGAAGACTCTGATGTGAAAGGGGGCTCCTAATGTGAAGGGGGATTCTGATAGGAGGGCTTCTGATGTGAAAGGGGGGGGAGGGGGGGGGGCTTTAATATAAAGGAAAAAGACAATTTTTTGTGTGATTTAGCATGGGGTCCTCCTTTTTCATTGGGGTGCCTCGAGATTTTGGAGGCGCCGTGACATAAAAAAGTATGAGAAACGCTGGTGTAGACCCTGGTATGAGTTCCAGGGATTGTGTGAATGAGCCCAGAAACGTGTGAGATAGGCTGTAAAATAAACAAAAGCAACATACATACACAACATGAAATACATAAACAAGCAGAAAAGAACTGCTCCTAAAACAAAACAATCATTCCTGTAAGATGTCTTCTTGAGTCCCCCGCACTGGAAGTTCCTGGAACCTGGCTGAAGATTTTTGAATCATAACATGGCCAACCTCCAGCGTTAAACAGGTTAATGAGCTTTCTTTTTTTCCCTTCCACCTCCTCTCCCACAATCCTTTGACAATGATGTCATGGTGAACCCTGAGGGGGTGGAGGATTTAATTCTTCCTCTAGCACACAGCTGCCCCTCCTTCCTCGGCTGAAGGCTGCAGTCTAGAGAGCAGGGAGTGGGAGACTGTGCCTGTCACTTGTACGGTTCTCTCATCTGAAGACACTGCAGTCCTTCCCCGGGTGAGCGATCCCAGGTGAGCCATCCCACATCGTCCATACTATAGGGGGGCGGGGAGGGGGGGGTCTGTCACCCCCTATTAGCACACCTCTCTAGACCACACCACACTACACTCACCCACCCAGGGGCTGCTCCTCTTCTGCTCTCTTATTTTTCTTACTAGGCTGAAGTTAGTTTTGGGAAGTCTGGTAAGTTTAGCTAGAGTCTAGTTTTGTCTGTGTTGTGTTCTAGTATCCACAGGTTATTGTGTGTTTACCCAGAGCAGGTAAACAAACCCTAGCCCCTGCATCCTTTTATTTTATTATGCTCCATAGCTAGTGGCAGTGTTGTGTTTATGACTTTAGTGTTTATTTGCTGTTTACATGATGAATGTGTGCATGTAAAATCTATTACATAGTCATCTTGGCTTGTAGGAGGCTGATGAATTGTACCGATGTGATTCCATTCCTGTCCTTGCCGGTTTGATAGCCTTGTATGTAAGGCTCAGGGTACACAGACATTTGTGCTTTTTGGGTTTGTTGGATATTTAATCCCCATTTACACTTGTGTAGCATGTGAATGTGTGCAAAATACTTCAATCTTGTAAGCATTCATGAAATGCATGAAGTGTGTTTGTGCACCAAGCATGACGCTGGAAGCTCCTAAAGGTGTGTGAGCGTCTCTACTGCGTTTGTCGCACATAGGGTAGCCTATTAAAAGGAATGGACTACACTGTCTGCAATAAATGCGGCGTGCATGTGTGAATGGGGGCTTAGGCAAGGTATTAACTTTGAACTGGGTATTATGCAGCAGAATACTCTACCGGGTACAGGGAGTCATCATTTAGATCGTATGATTAAGATCAAGAAAGGCTACTAACTATACTCGTTACAGTCCGACCATACAATTTCTGTACGATCAGCTTTAAATCTGCTTCCAGGTACAGGGAGTCATCGTTTCGATGATCGTATGATTAAGATCAAGAAAGACTTGGTGTACGCGTTATAATCCTACCATACCATTTCTGTATGGTCATCTTTAAATTTGCCAAAGCTATGTAATAACACCTACCTAAACGATCCTATGAGTTTGGATCTAATCAGGCAGGCCCTTGCATCACATACTTGTTGGTGGATCTAAAGGAGAGTGTACAATCAGATTGACATATGAGGTGAGTTTAAGACAGTAGAGCCATACAGGTTATGGTGGACAAATGAATATAAAATTCATGAGCCAGTCTACCCAACCCAAGAGCCAGCAGGTTTTTTTTTTTTTTTTTTAATGAGCTAGCTCCATTGACAATGGCTAGAGAGAACCTCAAAAAGTTAGCCCCTGGCTGTAATTTGGAAGGAGCCATGGCTATCTGCTCCTGGGATTTGCTCAGCCTTTGGCTACAGTGAGAAGGTACTAAAGCAATGAAGCCATTGCTGGTTCGATCCTGTTGTAAAGACTTGCGACGGAGCTCAAATGGCACTGAAGTGCAGAACGCTTGGACGATTCCAGTGTGGCGCCAAACCTCGGGCAGCCACCATTCCCTTATAATATTGAGTTTGCTTGCCTTATGTCCACTATGTGTTTTTTGTGCTGACGCTTTGTGACTTGTGCTCAGGGGACTGGGAGTAACCCACACCCTTCTTCTTTATGTTTATCTGAAACCAGTTTGCCTTGTAGTGACGGGGAGGACAGGAGTGTCCTGTGTAGAAGTGGCATCCAGGGCGACCAAAAAGGGGTGGAGGCTGCTGGAGGATTGGAAGGAGTGGGGAGGGAGACGGCTGGGAGGTGCACTTGCTTTGTACACAGTCTGCTTGGGAAGCTCGCTGTCAGTTTCCAAGGAAACCAGTTTAAATAAGTTTTCTTTCCCTCTCAGCTCTTATGATCTAGTCCTCAAAGGGTTAATGTTGCGGACCGTGTTTTATTTTTTATTTTTATAAAGCGTAACTTGAAATTTGAGTTTTTGTTTTTTTTTTCTTTCCCCTTTTGAAGCAAATGGAATATAAAGACAAGATATCATAGGATTTTGAAAGTCCTTTTGCAATATGCTATGCAGTAAATGATCTAGGTAGTCATTTTGTAGAAGAATGGTCGTGTTCCCTCAGGGTGGTAACTTAAACTCTGCGCACAAGTCGGGAAATAATCCATGTTGTTCAGACCAAATTGCATCAGTAATTTTTTAAAGGAGTGCTTGGAAAGCTCAGTGATGCATGGTTATGTCTAAAAGCTGGCCATACACTGGTAGATTTCCAAACGAACGCTCATATGAAACGTTTGATAATGCCATCGGACACTTGACGAATGGCATTCAAAATTTCAGATTAATATTTAATTTTTGGATTGAATGGAGTTTCTTAAGTTAAAAACCACATTCACTTTTAGAATTTTTTGTTCCGAAAAATGTATCTACCCTGCTCCTTCCATTTGACCCCATTAACAACTAAAAAAAAAAAAAAATCCAAAAAGGATTTTTTTTTTTCTTTCAATTAAAATTCTACAGGTGTATGGCCAGTGTTATAAATGTACATACTCCAGAGGATACTTACGGTATTGGAGCATCCCATTGCGTACTTTTTAAACCTTGGTTAGGCCTCATTCACACAGAGTAGAGTGGGGTCGTACAGATCCGCGCGGCGTACACGGCAGTATCGGTCCGTTCCATGGAAGGACAGGTGCTGCGTGTGATTGTACGCAGCAGCTGGTTCTTCCCTATGGGAGGACGCGGCCATACGCTGTCGTACGTTCTCCCGAGCTGAACATCCGTGCGGGTGTCCATACTTAAAGGAGAACTATGAGATGAATGATTTCCACTCACCTCATAGTTCTAACCGACCTGTGACAATGAGACTGTCACAGGTCGGCTCAGTAGATCGGGACGTGAGCGAACACATACCGGCGTTCGCTCACCTCTCGATCCTGCCACGGCTCTCTGCCGTGACAGGGGAGGGGCTGGATTCCCCTCTCCCCGCTCCGATCCGCCAGCGCTGACTGACGGAATGGACGGGGGGAGGGGGCGGGTACAGCTGGCTCTGCCTCTAGATAGGCAGAGCCAGCTGTCACTCACGCAGCTGGGCGGATCTTGACATCAATGTCGGGATCCGCTCCGGCTGCCGCGTCTCAGTATACTGAGCTTAGGGTAAGGGGAGGACGCTAGTTTGTGTCCTCCCACTACCCTAAGGAGAACTATGGGGAAAAGCTCTGACCCCATAGTTCTCCTTTAACCACTTGAGCACTAGTCTGTAATACCCCTTCATTATTAGGCCAGTTTTCAGTGCTGTGATAGTTTGACTGACGATTACTCAGTCATGCGACGCTGTGCCCAAATTCATTTTACATTTATTTTGCGTTCTACAGGGGAATTCAGGTTCCAAATTCTAGCGCTAATATAGCCGAAGAAGTGCCTGCCCCAAATTCTAAAACATGCAGTGATGTTTTCTGGATCTCTACTGACTCTGCACCAAATGCATGTAGTTCTTGTTTGCGCCATATTTCATTCTGATCCATACTGAAATCCAACAGTTCGGTAATAAAAAAAAAAAAGAAAAGTGATGCAATGTAAGAGGAAGTACTTTTTGGCGTAACTAGTCTGTTGCACGTTCATAGTGTGTATGTCTGTTGCAGCATGCAACACATACCTCAGATGTGACATTCCTTGAAACTGAGATCTGTCTCAGACACATGTGGCACTTTGGACAGAGATGGGACTGATTCAGTGTTCATATATCTGTCCCAAAGTATTCTCACGCTGCTTCCCACAGCTCAGTTTTGACAGCTGCTCACAGAAGGATCCATCATGTATATGTCTGAGGCCGAACACTGTCTGTGTGTGGCTGTCAAGACTGAGCTGCGGGAAACAGCGTATGAGGGCACTCAGCTCCTGTAAAAATGGCATCCATAAGATGCCCATTTTCATGGGAATGTGGGGACTTTTTAGTTAGTGCGTTTTTGGGCGTTTTTACAGTGTTTTTATATTTCAGCGCACTGCCCCTTTAAGAGAATCCAACTGTAACTTTTTTGGCGGCAAAAAACTTTATTTTGGCGGGAAAACATAGCCGCGAGAATATATGGCAGTTTGAATTGATGCCCTATATAAAGAGGTGCCGCTAAGATTGAAACATCCAGTTGGGAATCCACAGTTGGAATCCAGTTTTAGAAGCTTCCCTCCCCCCCTCCCTAGTCGCTGTATTTTTATGTGGTTTGTCACCTCAGGAGGGGACTATTCCCTTGGCTGATATATTGCTCGAGTTTCGAAAACTGGGCATTATGGTGGAAGTTTACAAATTTTATTGGTTGATTATTAGATTGATTAGTAGAGTTTGATTTAATATTAATGCAATAAAAATGCCGCGGCCAATTAATGCCATTTTAAATAAAATAAGTGTTTATTTAGAGTTAATATAAACATATGTCACCTACAGTCCCATGTGTCTCCATAAACTGCCTGCACGTTTCTTCCTGAAGCTCAAGCATCAAAAGTGGCCCTTCATGCTATACAGGGCAACACTCCCTGTGTGAATGAGGCCTAAGGTCTCATTCACACCTAGGCGTATTGCATATGCGCGTCTGTCGCACGGTTTTTTACCGCGATTCGTGGTAAAAAAGTCGCGCGACCCCGAAGGCTACTTGGCTGTATGCCAATGGAAACGCGCAACAAAACGGCCCAAAGTAGTACATGTACTTTTTCAGGCGTGGGCCGTTTTGTAGCGCGTTAGGGACGGGCGGAAATACGCCAAGGTGGGAACGAGACCATTGAATACAATGGGATTTATATTTTTGAGCGTTTTGTAGAGCGTTCGTCGAGCGTAGAACGCGCTACAAAACGTTCAGGTGTGAACGAGGGCTTTAAGGGACCCACTAAAGCCAAATAGTTGCAGAAAAACTTCACCCCAATCATTGGTGGACAGTGGCAATTTAAGGGCTATTTCACACCAGAACTGCGTGAGTTTGTGCAATGCAATGTGTTTTGCTGTGATTTTGCCACAATTTTACCATACTTGATGCGGTTTTTTTTGACAGGGGGTGTTGCTTAAAATGACATTTCAGGTG